CTGCTGCTGCTGCTGCTGCTGCGCGGCGCCGCCGCTGCCGCCGCTGACTCTGCGGCGGAGGACGCCGGTCTGCTGCAGCTTGTGCCACCTGTGCTGCAGGCGCTCCCTCTTGGCCCTGAGCATGAGCCTGAGGTCGGCGTGGCCGTACCAAGTGCGGCGGAAGGCGTCGCTTTTGCTGCTGCTGGCGAGCAGAAAGACCAGCACTGCGCACTCCGGGCTGCAGCTGCCTTTGGTGCAGATCACGTAGCTGGGGGGGGCCCCCGGCTGCTGCCGCGTGGGGAAGCGGAAGCGGGGCCCCGGCAGCGCGTCGCCCAGGTCTATGATGACGCAGCGCATGCAGTGCAGCGCAGCAGCAGACCTGGAGAGTTCAACTAACACGTTGCCGGGCTTTGTGTCCCAGTTGATGAGGGGCCTCTCGAGCTCGCAGGCGAGGACGCGCTGGCTGCGGACGAACTTGATGCAGATCTCCAGCGCCAGCAGCGCAGCAGCAGCGCGGCAGGGGGCCCGCAGCTGCTGCAGCACTTGCGTCAGCGTGCGGCCTTCTATGCGTTCCATGGCCACGCCCAGGACTCTGCTGCCGTTTGCTGCTAGGCCGCGCGCCGTCCAGAAGTAGCGCGGCACGGGGAGCTGCTTGGCGGGCTGCAGCAGCTCGGGCGCGCGCTGCTGCTGCTGCAGCTGCTGCAGCTGCAGCAGCAGCAGCTCGGGGTGCGCCGCGGGCGCGCCGCGCCGCAGCGCCGCCAGCTGCTGCAGCAGCAGCGCCTCCCCCGCGCTCAGCCCCCGCCCGCTCCGCCGCGCTGCTGCTGCTGCTGCTGCGGCCCGCGAACCCCACAGCTGGCAGCAAAGTCCCCGCAGCTGCAAACCCTCCTGCAGCACGCTGTGCGTCCGGTACTTCAGCCGGCTCTCTTCAGTCTTGTCGATCTCCAGCAGCTTCAGCGCAAACCGCCGCCGGGGCCCCAGCAGCTGCAGGTGCAGCTGCCCGAGGCCCTCCCCGTCCTCCACCACTGCTTCCTCCTCGGGGCCCCCTGCTGCTGCTGCTGCTGCGCCGCTCGCCTTCTCGCCGCCCCACGTGCTCGCCGCGCCGCCAACTGCTGCTGCTGCTGCTGCTGCTGCTGCTGCTGCTGCTGGGTCCGCCACGCCCACAGC